TGGTCTTACCTATAAATGGAACTATCTACTATGCACTTTTTTTTGTTTGTTTGTTTTCTTAACTCAGTGTAATAATTTGGGATTCACTTATCTTGTTACATTATCAATAGTGGATTCTTTTTATTGCTATTCAGTATTCTGTTGTATGGATATTCTACAATGTGTTGATGATTACTTGGGTGGTTCCCAGTTTTGGCTACTATGAAGAAAGTTGTTCTGAATATTGTATGAATATATTTTTTTCTTGTTTTCTCTTGCTTAACACCTTGTTGTATAATTGCTAGGTTATTAGTGTATATTTAATTTAAACTGCCAAACTCTTTCCCAAAGCGACAATGCAATTTTACACCTCCGTCTGTAGGGGAGTTCCAGGTGTTTCACATCCTCAGTATTCTAGAGGATGTGTAGTATTACTGTATTTGTGGTTTCAGTTTGCATTTCCCTGATGACTGGTGATCTTGAACATGTCCTCATATGATTATTGGCCATTCATATATATCTTCTTTTGTGAAGTCTTTTATCTATTTTTTTTAAATGGTAGTTTGCCTTATTGAGTTGTAGGAGTTCTTTTATTCGGAATATAAGTTCTTTATGAAATGTATTTATCTTTGGGAGAAGCAGTCTACCATGGGCCCTGAGTTTCCCTGAATCTTCATGATGATGAATATGCCAACAATGCAAGGCTTGATTGCTCTTTATCAAGCCCATTTCTCAGGGTTTTGTTTGTAGTGAGCAGCAGCCTTGAGAGATAGGGTTATATTTCCCTCTGGCCAATGTGTATAGGCTTGTTACTGCTGACTGTAAAAATGGCGAATCCCCCCAAGCTCAGTGTTCTTCTCCTATAATGCAGTCCACTGCATGTCTGGACATCAATCATGGGTCCTATATTGCCGAGACTTGGTGGGTTGGGAAACCAATACATGCATAATAAAGTCCTTTGCCTCTGACCCAGAAGTCTTGTGTTTTTTGCCAGCATTCTAGAAATCATAACAGGCAAATTTAGCTTGAATGAAGGCTAAAACATCAGGCCCTTTATAGTTCTTAACATGTATTGCAAATATTTTCTCCTAGTCCGTGGCTTACCTTTTATTTTCTAAGTGAAACTAATTTAAATAAAAGAGCCTTTTGAAAAGTAGAAGATTTAAATTTTAAAGAAGTCCACTTTATCAATAATTTTATAGTTAGTACTTTTTGTACTTACTTAGGTAGAGACCTAAGAAATCTTTGCCTTCCTTAAGGTGGCAAAGATTTTCACCTGTTTTCTTCTAGCCATTTCATAGTTTTCACTTTTACATTTGGGTCTAGGATCCAGGTTCACTTTCTTTCATATGGATGTCCAGTTGTTCCAGCATCATTTGTTGAAGAGATTCTTCTTCTCCCATTGAATTACACTGGTACCTTTTTTGAAAATCATTCACCATGTAGGTGCAAGTATATTTCTGCATTCTCTATTCTATTCCATTGATACATATCCCATTCTAACTTGATTACTGTAGCTTTATAGTAAATCTGGAAATCTGATAATATAATCTTCTCACCTTTGTTCTTTTTCAAAATTGCTTTTACTGTTTTAGATTTCCTTCATTTCTATATAAATTTTGCAACTTACCTCTCAATTTCTACAAAACACTGGCTGGGATTTTGACAGTAATCATAATTAATCTATAGATTATTTTTTGGAAAATATAATTCTTAAGAGATTTCTTAATAATTGATTTTTCTCATCCTTGAACATGATATAACATCTTTACATAGGTAATTCTCAATTTCTCTCCACAAATGTGTTGTAGTTTTCAGTCTATAGGTATTCTCTTTCTTTTGTTAAAGTTTTCCTAATTGCTTTTTTGATGCTATTAAAAATATTCTATTTTAAAATTTTGTGTTCCAATTGTTGTTACTATTTAGAAATGCACATTATTTTTATATGTTGAGCTTTTATTCTGTGCTAAATTCATGTAGATAACCATGTCATTTGCAAATAGAGACGATTTTACTTTTTCTAATCTCTGTCTATTGTTGTTATTATCATTTGTGCCTTATTGCATTATACTAACTGCGACTTCCAGTCTAATATTGAATAGGAATAGTAAGAGCTGACATACTTCTCTTGTTCCCAATTTTAGGGGAAAGCATTCAGTTTTATCAACATAGAAATAATAGTAACTGGATGACTTTATGAATGGGGATGTATAATGTCTTATTTAATGTCATTAAAGTGAACTAAAGGATTAAGATTGTTGGATGCCTGATGTCATCTCTTTAGGGACTTTGCTGTAGGAGCCTCCTAAAATGTGGATTCAATTAGCTGTCGTTTCATGGAATGGTATCTTTTGGTTTAATTGAGATTACCTATAACTGTATTTAGAGGATGGGAGAGAAGAAGTTGCAAAGTTTTAAGATAACTAAGTGTTTCATAATAATCAAATGTGATATTTAAAATTTAGAAATTTAAAAATATCAGAATAGTTACTTTATTTATATATTATGTAACTATCAGAAGAAACTGTTAAAGGAATTAGAAATGATTGCTTTTGTGAGATGGGGCTAAGATGTGGGACAGGTGGCTTCTGGTTTTTAATATTTTAATACCACTTTTATTTTTATCCAAATGCACTTATTGCTTATTATGGTTATATTTAAAAAGTATTTATTACATGGGACTTACTCATACATTGTTAAAAAAAATCAATTTATTCAGTTGTGGTTTATTTTGATCCTAACAGAATCATAATTATTTCCATGGTCAATTTAGAATGGGCTACAAGAGATCATCTAGTTTAACCTACATTACAATATCTTTGTATAAAAATATTGGCCTGGCAGCATGCACAGGAAACTTGCAAAATTTATGATATCAAGAAATTGTAAGCAAACTGCATGCTCAAGAATGAGAAACTAATTAAGTAATTCTATGTCAGTAGTATATAGGCAGGAAAAAGTCATATTCTTTAAGACTTATTGAAATTGGGATATGTTCATAAAATAATGCTCAATGATTAAAGTAGCCCATAGAACAGTAGTCATTACATGTTTTTTTAGGTGAAATATGTGTGTTTAAGTACAAATGTATATAAAATATTCTGTACATATCTATGACAAAAATGCTTTATGTAGAAATATCAGATTGATAGCAGTTATTTCAAGATACTTTTTTCCTATTGCTTTTCTGTTTTCCAAATTTTCTCTGTTGAATAAATAATACTTTGTCTTTTTTTGCTTTAAATTACCATTGATAAATGCTATGTCAATGCAAGCTGAATATCTTCTTTTTAATATCAGTGATTATGATAAAAATAATTGGATGTTTATTTTCATTGCTCTCACCATTCCCCCTTTCAAGTTTATTTTCTTTATCATTTTTAATTCTCTTGAGGTTTTGCCATTGCATTTTTCTTTCATAAATTACCATTTTGATATTGATGGGAATAAAAATAGCCTCTCTCTGCTGTGCTAATTTGTTTTGCATTATTGAGAATGTTTTCTTAAGCAACATTATAGCAAATTAAGAAAAACAAAAGACATGAAAAAAAATACATCTGATTTCCTGCCATCTCAGATAATCTGCTTTTAAACATGTACAGTTCCTTTCTGGACCTTGGATGTCTAACCTGTAATTTAAATAGATATTCAGAACTTTATTGTTAGTTCACCATCCTTACCATTTCCTACCTGGGCTATGCATGTTTTCACAACAGGCTTTTTCCTTCTGATCTCAGGGTAAAAGTACAAGTTCTTTAGTGTCCTGTAAACCATATAGTCTCTCTGTCACAACATTTTTTTTCTAAATTTTTGTATGGTTAGCTGTCTTATCTCCTTTAGACTCTTTATTCAAACCCTCATATCTGAGGCATGTGAATTCTTCTCTGTGAGCCTTTCTTTGACCACTGTATTTAAAATTGTATGCCTCATGCTATGCTCCTTATTCCCCTTCTGCTTTTATTCTTCTCCATAGTTCTTATGTTATTTGCAGTACAATATATTTTAATTATTTCATTTATTACCCGTCTCTCCCCACTAGCATAAAGCTACATGTGGATAGAAATTTTCATCTTTTATTTGCTACTCTATTCTCAGCATTTAGAACAGTGCCTAGTATTGAGTAAGCACTTAATGTTTGTTGAATAATGAACGGACTTCAACTCTTTCGGTCTATATTTCATATTGCACTAGAGTGAGCCTTCCAAAACTCCCCTGGAAAAGCTAATTGTGTAGTGGTGCTTTATCACTCCATGATCTGGCCTCTATCTTAAGGGAGAGGTGTGTGTGTGTGTGTGTGTGTGTGTGTGTGTGTGTGAGTGTTTGTGTTTTAATTTTCTCTCTTTGTGTGCATGTATGTTATGTTTTGGTCTGGGAGGGATTCTTTTCTAATTCTTTATCTCCTCCTTTCTTAACTTTCTTGTGTCACCCAGGATCCTCTGATCTGCTCTGCCAAGTTAAGTGTTCCTCCTTTGGTCCCTTGGTGTACTGTGTTACAGAAATTAGACTGCATTGAAAATTATTATTTTTGTGTCTGTCTTTTTCTTTCCAGACTTAGGTTTTGTTAATCCTTGTGTCTATGGTGCCTAAAACTATGCTTTTCATGGCAGTTGAGTGGATTTAATGCCTAGTAGCCTTTTCCATGTTGGTGGTCAGAGTACTAATTTTAATAGGGTAGTTCTTATATGAATTTTGATTTTTATTTAATGTGTACCTAAAATATATTACTATATTTTAAGATATTTCCTATGATGTACTCTTAATTGTCCTCCATGACATATTGCATTTGAGAAGCAATTATTCTAATTTGTATACTTTTTGATCTTATATTACTGTCTTTTATGGAAACCATAGATTATGAATTGATAGATTTATAGGCAGAAGTGGAAATCATCACCTCAAAATAATACTAATCATAGTAGTCATGTGCAGCTGGTAATGAGTGGTGGGATTAGTTTGTTATTATTTTATGGATAATCTTCATTCAGCATGAATTAAAAAATTCTTTTTGACTTATTTTACAGGGAAGTCTTAAGCGTAGCCGACAGATCTCACCTCAGGAATTCATTCATGAGCTAAAAATGGGATCTGCAGATGAGAGACTTGTCACGTGCTTAGAGTCCCTTCGAGTGTCTTTGACCAGTAATCCTGTAAGGTAATTCATCTATCTGAATATCATCAGGACATGTTACTAAGTAGATTAAACAGATGTCATTAATCTGTCATTTTTATTTAATACTTTCTTTGTGGTGCCTTCAATTAAATAGCTGGTATACCTCAACAATTTCTCAAGGTAAAAGTTGAATACCTAATATTGATATGCATGAAGAAATATAGTATCCATAGTACCTTTTGTATTATTACTGGGTGCTATATGGCTCATGGACTTTAAGAAAACCTTTTTTTCCCCATGGAAATTTTAAAAAACTTCAGATGTTTTTAAAAAGACATGATCAGAAACTATCAACTTAATGTGACAGAGTTTTGCTCTGAATTTTGGTGCCAGATATATATTTGCTGATTCTTGTTTGACATAGTAAGAAATATCACTAATTAATTTTTTCCTTTGTTGGAAATGTTCTTGCTGTAGGGGCCAATAGGTTCGTATTGCTGTACTTGGCAAATAAAAATACAGGACACCCAGTCAAATTGAATTCCACACATACTTAGAAATGTCTTTTATCTGAAATCCACATTTAAGTGGATATCCTGTATTTTATCTGGCAGCATTAACATAGGTGTTTCTATAAATCAATTTTTAGACTTTTGGAATGGGGCTAATTTTTGGACCTCTGAGAAATAATTGTATACAAAATTTAAAAAGAAGTATAAATGTATTTTGATAAACTGGGCATATTTATACTTGTCAGATTATTGGATGGTAGGAGACAGACGTGTTTAAAAAAAAACTAAGGTGTACCTGAAATATATTATGTATGTATATGTTAATTGTGATGCTTGAGAGGAGGGATTTCAATTCATTCGGAGACTACGCTAACTTCGAATTAAGTAGGCAGCTAAACGAGAGTATTCTTGAAAACATTTAAGCAGAAGTTGTTATGAAATGTCTGAGCAGTTAGATTCAGAGAATTTCAAAGCTGCAAGGGTGTAAGGTAGATTAGTTTTGGGTTTTATTGTATAAGAAATGAATGATTATTTCTGCATAAGAATATGTGTAATATGTGTGTGTATGCATATGTGTGTTATGAATAGTAGAATAGCATTCTATAATTGTAGGTTAATGATATAGAAAATGTTCTTTAGTATTTTTTTTGATTATTACTTTTTTGGACATTTCTGAGATTTGGATATAGTATGAAAAAAATCCTTGGGCATACAAGTATTTAAAACAAAAGACACTACCTGTTGAAATGTGAGAGCAAGGTTTAACAAAGGAGTATGGTGAGTAAACAAAGAATCTTTAGTTTATTTCAATTTTACCTTTATTTTTCTGAGTTTTGCCACTTCCAGTGTGTTCTCTAGACTGTAAACTAATGGTGGGCATGAGACCAGTGCCTTCATATTTGTTATTTACCACTTTTACTGGGCACAATGTTTAGCACTTGAGAAATGCTCAATAAATATTTGTTAATTGAAACGATGAGGTTTTAATTTTAGCCGCCTTCAGTCTTAGCACGGCTATCATTAGAAACTGAGAATGGATTAGAGAATTTGACAAGTCTCTTCATTAATGAAAAGCATTGTTTCCAGCTTAATCTGTACCTGTAAAATGTATTCATTTAAAAAATATTTGCTATTTTCCAAGTACTATCTTAGGAGTGTGGCTTGAGGGAACAAAACAGATCTAAGGTCTTTTTCCTACTGAGTTTAAATGTAGGAAGAGGGTATTATAGGATCAGTTGGGGCCACAACTCACACTCATTTCTCAATTTATCTGTCAGCCAATGGGCACTAGAGATATGCATCATTTTTCAGTTATAAGTAGAAGTAGACCCTTCCTTTACCACTGTTATTTTCTTCCTTCCCACCTTTTTCTTCCTTCTCTTGATATTTTGAGTAGATGACTATGATAATAGAAGAAAACAAAATTAAAGGGTTTTATGTATGAGTTCATGCATTTTACTATGGGTAGGATGTTTTTTATGATTTTTACCTAAAATGCTGGGAAATTATGCTATTTGTCTCTTCTATAATATTTGAATCTTATTTTAAAAAGCAAAATCCAAAACTTGTGGAATTATTTCTCCCAAAATGGATAGTTCTAGAATATATTAGGAATCCATAATGTTTTTTATAAAGTAATTTTTTTAATTGAAAAGAGTAGAAAATCTTATCATTAGAGACATTTTTCTGAAATAAAGCCACTATAATGTAGAGAGAAAATTGAGGAGATACTTGAATATTTCTTTATCCAGTGTTCCAATTAGAGAAATTACTTAGCTTGGTGTGTAACACTTGGAAGTTATGCCTATGATCAAATCTTTGGTCTTTCCTGTTACTTATGATGTGCTTGCTGATAAAGTCAGTTTTTCATATTTATTGTTTACATATTTTTCATATTTATTGTTTACATACAGATGCGACTAAATTCTGAGAAGCAATTCTAAGTTTTGTAAGCTTTCGAGATCATTGTTGGACCAGTGATATTGTTCAGTGAATCAGAGTTAAAATTTTTTAATGTTTGTGAATATAATGAAAAAGAAACAAGTGCACTGATTAATCATGGTTCTTCAGTACTGGTTTAGGATCAGGATTTCTTTAAATCAAAAATCAAGGAAAAAAGTAGACTGCTTCCTCCTGAAATTAGCTCTCTCCTACCCCCTCAAGATATATAATATTTTTAGAGCTATTCTTCACCTTCTGAGACTGCTTAGCAATTGTAAGCCACGTCAACTTTTTACTATCCTGTGAATTATGTGAAAACCCATATGTTAGATACCAGATTATCTACAACCAGATGCCTTGTTGTATGAGGATTTGATGTGGAGATCACAAAGTTCTTCTGTTTAATGAGATTTATTGATTGATTATCAGTATTCTTGGTGACAGTTCTGAGCTAGTTTTGAACACTAGGGAAAAGACTAGCTTCTTCAAAGTATCAAATACAACTTTTAGTGGATCTTGACATAATTATGTTTGAGTTATTGAATACATTTATGTAGAAACATAAAAAGAGGTAGGCATTGACATCAATCTGAGTGATATCAAGCATTTATATTTTGTACCCATCTATGTACATAGCAAAGTGTTTACAGACTGCATCTCCATTTTCTCAATTTGTTGCACCTGTCAAGGGCAAGATTTCTGTCTCAGAAAAGCTAGTTTTACCCAGTCTTTGTGTTTTGTGATTTTTAGGCATTATATCTACTTAATCACAATCAAAATTTATATTTTGAAGTTTATGGGAAATATTTTCTCACTAAAGTTATCTTTTTGCTAGAAGATATCTAAGGACATTCTGGATCTAGGTTTGATAAAGGTGATAACTGTAACTTTGAGAAAATCATTTTGGAAAATTTTACAGGAAAATGTGTTTAAACCAGAACAAGTGAACAGCCTTTGAAAGTCATTATTTCATTTAATCAGTGTCATTTTTGGAATCTAGTTTTTCTGCATTTCTGGGATTTAAAACACAAAGGAAGTAGACGAGCTTGACTTTGGAGTTGGTCTATGTTTTGTGCCACGCATCACATGTCTGAAGATATAAATAGAAAATCTTGTGGCAAACAATGGGATCAGTGTACTTGTTGCTGTCAACATGATCTGAAGAAAGTCTTTCAAGACCAAAAAGTTGAAGTTACTAATACGTTGACTTGTTTCAAAAAGTATTTTTATAAAACATTAAACATATATAAAGACTATTTGTCCTAGCAGTAAAACATGCACCTATTTGCCTACTAATGAGGCCGAGATCCAGAACATTGCCTATAACTTTGAAGTTTCCATGTATCCCTCCTTAATTCTACCCTCATCCACTCATCACTCCCCCTAGTCCCAACTATTCTGTGGTAATCACTATCTTTAAGTTTGGGCTTATCATTCCTTTTCTTTATAGTTTTACCATATATATTAATTACTAATTAATTTATTGATTAGTTTTATATATCTTTAAACTTTATGTAAATGGAATCATCTTCCATGTCTTCTTCTGAGACTTATATTTTCTACTCAATATTATGTTTCATAGATTTATCTATCTTGATATATGTGGCTGTTCACATTCATCATAGCTAATCATTTTCATACCTTTACTTGTATTTTAGGAAGATCTATTGTAAATAACATGAATAAATTTTTATCCTGTCTGATAATCTTTGTCTTTGCCTGGTAGACTTACCTTTTAGTATTGACTGTGAAAATATATTGACATTTATCTTATGTTTCATTTTGGATTTTTAATTTATGCTACTTTTTCCAGGTTCACCTTTTCTACCCATCCTGTTCTTTCTCCTTTTCTGTCTGCGGCTTCTTTTTCTGTGTTCTTCCTTCCTCCTCTTTTCTCTTCTTTCTCCTTAACTTCTTTTAGATAAATTTTTAATTTCTATTTTATTTTTTCTCATTTACTAATTTGGAAGACAAATGATCCTTTTTGATCTTAGAAAAGAAATTTAAAATGTACGCACTTAAAAAGGAAATTTAACATGCGTGTACTTAAAAGGAACAAGAAATAGCAGTATCTTTTGTTTTCTCTTAAATCAAAGAATAATATCAGTCTCTCTCTTGATTAGTATGCTAGTTTTTTTTTTTTTTTTTGAGACAGAGTCTCACTTTGTTGCCCAGGCTAGAGTGAGTGTTGTGGCATCAGCCTGGCTCACAGCAACCTCAAACTCCTGGGGTCAAGCAATCCTTCTGCTTCAACCTCCCGAGTAGCTGGGACTACAGGCATGCGCCACCATGCCTGGCTAATTTTCATATATTAGTTAGCCAATTAATTTCTTTGTATTTATGTAGAAATGAGGTCTCGCTCTTGCTCAGGCTGGTTTCGAACTCCTGACCTTGAGCAATCCGCCTGCCTCGGCCTCCCAGAGTGCTAGGATTACAGGCGTGAACAGCCTAATATGCTAGATTTTAGTGATATATTTAGTATATCCTTTTTTTTTTAGCATTATGCATTAGATATTATTACTATTATTGTTATACTACAAATATGTGTATATGTTTGCACATATCTTTCTTTTGGTGTTTGTACTTTTT